ATAAAAACAGGTATTCCTAACTGTAAGAAAGTTTTCCTGCCCTCTGTGCACAGACACACTCTCTTCCTCCCTCCCTCTCTCCCTCCCTCTCTCTCCATCTCTTCCTCCCCTTCTCTCCCTCTCTCTCTCTCTCTCTCCCTCTCCCTCTTTCCTTCTCTTCCTCCTTCTCTCCCGGCTACTCTGGCAAGATCTCTAACCTCCTCTGCCCCTCCCAATCCACCTAGGTGTTCTCAACATGTGTTCAAGCATGAAGTCAACCTCCATTGACAGCACAGACATCAGCTGCTTGAAGCAAACTCATGCTTGTGACCAAGTGGCTGGTGCTCTCTAATGCCACAGGACTGCTGTTGCTATAATACTCACCATTGGCATCTCCACCCGGGCCAACACTGCTTTGTTAGTTTCCCCAAAAGTCCTGGCTTGAGCTCCTAACACCCCTCATAATTTTTTCTTCTGTACAGAAAGCCTTTTCGTATTTTTTGCAGCCCTATCTCTCCCTAGGACTCACAGGTGAGTCCACAAAAGCTGGCTGGACAGCAGGACCAACCCCAGGGATGTGCAGTGTTTTTACGGCCACGCTGCATCTCTGACGAATCAGGTGTTGTTATACTGAGCTTGTTTCTTCCTCAAGACAGTGTGGTTCAGCACCTAGGTGATTTTGTATCCCGCCTCCCCCTGCTCTAGGACATTTGGCAGAGCTAGAGACCTTTTTTGTTGTCACACTTGGGGAGGGGGGTGCTACCAGCATCCAGTTGCCAGAGACCAGGGATGCTAGTAAACACCCTACAATGTGTAGCACGACTCCTCACACCACAGGAAATTAACCAGTCCAGACTGCCAGTAGTGCTGAGACTCTCCCTTAGGATGAGTTCTTTCCCGAGAGATACAGCCCCTCATCCACACAGGACTCACATCAGGCTATCACCAGGTCACCAGATCTGCCCAGTTATGCCTGACTGGTTTCCATCAGGAACACAAATTGAACAGTTCTTTTCACAGCCCATTTCCCTCTGGGATTTTGTTGGGGCTTCTTCTCCCCTCCATCTGGCCATACAAGCCTCTCAGTTTTGTAGCGCAGACCCAGACAGTAAGACCAGAACTGTGAGGCTTCACAGGTACATTCTGCATGCTGCTCAGGTGACCTGGGTACATGAACACCAGGTGGGTCCAGGAAATCTGGATTGCATGCCTGACTGCCTCCACAGTGTGGACAGATCATTGGAACTCATTTCTTCACCTGTGCACTCAAGTTATAAACGATGGCCACGTACCTCTCTCCACAGAGCAGGTGTACGATTAATAACAGAACTCAAAGACCATGAAGGGCTTCTGGCCTCTAATAGAAATGTAGGTGTCTAAGTGATTGTGATACATGTTTTCTGACAGAAAATATATCTTAATTAGTCTCTGGACTGGGTGTTATAATATCTTGGAGAACAAACTGGGTTTTTGGTCTTGGGTTTTTTGTTTTTTTAAGATAAAAGTGTACTGAAAATATAAGGTCTTGATGAAATAGAAACTGAATTTTCAGGCTTCCAGGTTAAGGTAGAAGAATGACCAAGTGGGATTGGGGCACACATGCACATGAACTATGGAAAAACGACAAGTTTCCCCAAAGGGTTCTTAGGAAGTCGAAATCTCCTGGGACAATTGCAGAGGTCTCACACACAGCACTCCCAAGGTGTTCAAAGAGATGTACTGTTAGAGGCACATAAGTCAACTCGGGGGATCCAGGCAACACGTGTCCGGAAATAGATAATTAACAGTGCAAAACGCAGAGTTTGCATACACAGTGAATAAGATTGTCCTCCCTTCTCATCCTTTTTATGTTACATTTTAACCTTTTACCTCTAAAACAAAAGCGTGTGAACATAGTTCCTCACATATACACTCCCTCTCACACACATCTTTCCAGGAGATGGAGTCTAGTGTGAGTTGCTTTGAAAAAACACAAAGATCATTCAGACAGACAGCCATGGTGTCTCCATAATACTGGTCTCATACTCTGCTAGAACACTTATGACATTACAGATAATTTTAGTTTGCACAGAGGACCAAGAACTTCTCAAGGGCCAGCATGTCTTATTCATTTTTTAACGTCCCCTAGTACATGCATTGTATATAGCCAACAAATGTTTGTTGAATGAATGAAGGAAAGTATAAATGAACAAATGGAATAGAATCCTGGAGGTAGACCTCAGAACAAATTCTGCTTTGCCTTTTTGGGAAGCCTCACCTCTCACCTGGTCACAAAATGCATCTCTATTGTATTTCTTAAAAACAGGAAGTGCTTTGAATGGATTTAAAAATACCAGAGAGGGAGACAGCAAAGATGTTATTAGAAAAATAAGAATGCTTTTTATTCAGACTCAGCGGGTGACCCTCTCCTGATTCTGAGATGAATTTTTTCCAGCTGCCTACACAGATTTCAAGCACAGTTTTTCCAGCACTTGGCTTTTAGTCTACCCTGGCAAAGGAAGTTAAAGCATTGTCTGGCAAGTTTGTGAAAGGGATCATTTATATACAGAGAATTTTGTTGTTGGTCGGTGGTGATTCAGTCTGCAGGGATCGTGCCTATGAGGGAGCTCTCAGTTTTGAAGCAGGTTGTCACACCCTAGGCCTCTATTCTCAGTCCCTGATCTGCTTTCTAAAGCCCCACCATCACTCTGGGATCCCAAGGTAGCGCTTTCTTCCACAGGAAAAAAGCAGAATTCTCAGGACCAAGCCTGTCACCAGGGTGAGCCCTGTGTGCCTCTTGACCAGTGTTACTGCCATCTTTCTTATTTCATCCGTCTGGAATATTCTCTTCTCCTCTCTACCTTTCTAAATCTTATCTATCCCTCAAGACCCCAGCCATTCCAGCCCACAGAATTTGCTATGTTTTCTGAATTCTGTATCGTTTTCATCAGTGCCATGAGGTGTCCGATGATTTTATTTGAGCTCATTTTATTTCTTAAGTGTTTTGAGAGCAGGAACAACATCTTCTACTGCTGTGGGTTTCTCCTACCTAATATCATTATTAAAAGCATAGAATAAACTGGTCTCTGCAATTAGAGCTCAGGGAGTTCTAGAAAACTGTGTTGTGGATTGTTATTTGGGGATTAAAGAAAGTAGCCAACACAGAGATTAAAGAAACAAAATGGGGGAATATGCAAAATATCAAAATATCGCAGAATGTCATTCCACCAGTAGAATCTTTCCATTAACTTACTTCTAGAAAGCTCATGCTAAAATTATGCACATACACATGTACAATTGGCTCTCTGTGAGTTTCACCCTCTCAGATTCAAACAACCACAGATTTAAAATTTTTTTTATTTTTTATTTTTGAGTTTGAGTCTCACTCCATTGTTGCTCAGGCTGGAGGCTGAAGTGCAGTGGCATGCTCATGGCCACCCCAGCGTCAACCTGCTGGGCTCCGGGGATCCTTCCGCCTCAGCCTTCCAAATAGCTGGAACTATAGGCACACGCTACCACACCCAGCTAGTTTTTGATTTATTATAGATATGAGGTTTTGCCAAGTTGCCCGAGCTGGTCTTGAACCCGCATGTTCAGGCAATCCACTTGCCTCAGCCTCCCAAAGTGCTGCTGGGATTAGAGGCTGACCCAACGATCCTGGCCTAAAATATATATTTTTTAAATTGATGATTGCATCTGTACTGAACATGTACAGACCTTTTTTTCATGTCATTATTCTCTATAAACAATACAATACAAACACTACATGGCATTTACATTGTCTTAGGTATTATAAGTAATCCAGAAAGGATATAAAGTGTATGGGAGGATTGCATAGGTTGTATGCAAATACTACTCCATTTTATATCATGGGCTTAACCATCTGTGGATTTTGGTATCCTTGGGCTGGGGGGAGCCAGTCCTTGAACCAGTCCTCCTTGGATACTGTGGGATGGCTCTACATATGTGTATACACATATATGTGCACATAAACACATGTTTACATACATTCATATATTTACATATATACATATACCTACATTTGCATGCATATATGTGTGTGTATACATATATACACACATATACATATACATATATGAAGTATATGTCTATTCTGTGTGTATATATTTATTTTTGTGTACATTTGTATATATTTACTTTTTTGTACATTTACACACATTTATACATGCATACATATGATATCATGTATATATATGAAAAGCTCAGAAAAGGATCTTACCAGATTAGTTAGGGGTTCTATCAGAGGACAGGATATGGGCAAACAACTAATAAGCCTTGGTGGGGAAGTAGATCAACACCAGCCCAGAGCCAGAGGCCTGGCCCTTGGAGGACGGAGCCTAATGGTTGCTTTGTCAGGACCCTGGCACTTGAGGTGCCGGGTGCCTGGGATAATTAGTGCCCCAGAGAGGAGAACTGGGCAAGTGATGAAGGCAATCAACCTGCTTGGGGACAATGAGATTTGGCCTCGTCATTCCCTCAGATAGTTATAACACTGAATGTTTCCAAGGATTTCTAGAGTCCTAAACAAGAGGATGGCTTTCTACCTTTGCTCATTGAGCCGTTAAGACTGTGTTTGGACCACACAAGAAAAGAGAGTCATAGACGAGGATTCTAGTCTTACCCTCTGTGAACTTTAGCTTTTTCATCGGTAAATTGGAATTTGTCTCTTTCATACTGTATAGATTTCTTATGGGGGTAAGAACCCTAGGCCCTTTCCATGACACTGACTGGCCCCAATAGGCTAGGCCTCTGGCAGATTGGACACGTGGTATGGTGCCTTGAATCTGAGTTTCAGTTTACCCAATCTGCAAGTTTAAATGCCCTTGTTTTCCTGATGAAATAAATACGAGTACAGGCAGTGGAATGGTCAGCCAGAAATGTCCTGGCTCTCCATCTCTGCTCTCCTGACGGTTTACTTAGTTTCCTTCAAGACCCTTTCGCACTTTATAAAAAGGTGATTGTTTGTGCCTTGCCTGCTAATGTGAAACAGGCACCAGACATCCATGTGTTTTGTTTTCCAGGGAGATGTGCATCCAGCAAGATGGGAGAGTTCATCTCACTGTTGTTTATTTTGGGAAAGAAGAGATGAATGAAGTCAAAGGAATACTTGAAAACACTTCTAAGTGAGTCCAATATGCAGCTGTCATAAGGGGTCATGGTGACTAAGCTCAGAAGTGCATGTCCAAGGCTGAAACTTCTGCTTAGTTGTGTTTTCCTAAACTGGGGGATGGATTGATTGCTGCTATGTGTTGGGAGTCAGCTGCACCCTCCTTCCCCAGGAGACCACTCATCTGACACTGGATTTCATCGTGCAGGGATAATCCCTTTGACAATGGAGATAAACTTTCCTGTGCAGCAAGGGTAGGGGGAGAATGGGGTTCTTTGAGCTTCTGCATGACTGGTCATTCTCACTCTCAGAACCATAGACTTGGAGACTACTTTGCATATTAAGAATTAGAGAGGGCTGGGCTCAGTGGCTCAGCACTTTGGGAAGCCAAGGCAAGTGGATTGACTAAGCCCGTAGGTTCAAGACCAGCCCAGGCACCTTGGCGAGACTTCATCTCTACAATAAATAAGAAATTAGCAGGGCATGGTAGCACATGCCTGTAGTTTCGGCTACTTGAAAGGCTGAGGTGGAAGGATTGCCGGAGCCCAGAACTTTGATGCTTGGGTGGCCATGAGTGTGCCACTGCACTCCAGCCTGCGTGACAGAGTGAGACTCTAACTCAAAAAAAAAAAAAATTATAGGGAGGGTACAACTCTGCAGTGAGCTGTGTCTTAACCATGGCTGGAAAGGCTAAAAGTGATGTCCATGCCTTACCAGCCATGGTTCTCGTCCAGTTCTCATCCACTTACCAAACAGTCTTACCTTTTGGACTTTCATTCATTATGCTTGTTGATACATTAGCGGGAAACCAGAGTGATGGCTGAGGCAAGATCCTTGATTAAATCTACAGCTAAGCAGAAATTATTTAACCAAAAACTTTAGGCTTCCAGGTTGTATATTTATAATGGGTTAACCAGTTGCATGAGGGATAAACATATTCAAAGGCAGCATAGATGGATTTTTCCCTATCAAAAATAAATAACTCCGACCAATGAGCAAGCTAAAATAGTGCAGCACACACTGGCTTTTGGTTTTCCATGGAGGTTTTCAGGGCTCTAGCTGAGTAATCAGGTGGGAAGTTTCTACATAGGTGAAGATTTGAGTGGTCAGTGGTACTCAGTGGCAGAAATAGTCTGAATAGGTCCACATGGTTTAGATATATATGAACAGGACCTCCTGTTTTGAGTTTCCAGTAACTAGGATGATAGTTGAAGGATAAGATTCCAAGATTGAGCACATTTCAAAAAAATTTATATTCATGCTTTGTCACTAACAGACCCAAGACTGTGATGCTAATTATAATCATTCCAACATTCTAAAGCAGTTTGGCATACTATACAGTCTGCTGGCCAAATTTTGTCGGCCACCTGTTTTTGCAAATAAAGTTTTATTGGAATGCAGACACACCCATCTGTTTACATATTGGTTAAGGCTGCTTTTGTGCTACAACTGCAGAGTTGAGTAGTTCCCACACATACTGTCACGAGCTGCAAGCTAAACTATTTATTATTTGGCCCTTTACAGAAAGTTTGCTGAGCCCTGTTCTAAAGCAATAAGGAGTTAAGGGTTTAAAACTAGTAATAACTTAAAGCTTAGCTCCTGTCTAAGGAGATCAAATAGAACAAAATATCATGGAATATCTTAAATGTAAGTGATATAGAAATCCCTCATCGCCAGTGCATCTCTGCTTAGGAGTGAAGAGCATGAATGATTAGAATTCATGTTCTCTCCCCAGTGGGGGGGTTTTAACATCTCTGCCAGTCTTCATTCCTGAATGTAAATTTTTGTTAAGTTTTCCAGATGATTCTAACATGAAGCCAGGATGGAGAATCATCCTATGAGAAGGTGGTAACTCTCCAGGGGGCTGCTTACTTGACTTTATCCAGGTAGCTGCTCCACCCAGAGGAACTTTAAGCCACTATCCAGGCGACGCTGAAGTGTAGCCAGGATTGACACTCTCTATCCTACTGGCAGATTTTCAGCACATCAAAGAATGACCAGACATTTGCTGCTGGGTACACATAAGCAAATGTATATAAATCTGATAGATACGTAGAAGGCTAATTTTGACCCTTCTTCTAGCAAGCTGAATTCTCAACCAGAAGGTAGCTTGGTGGGCAAAGAATGTACATAATCTGAACCAGAAAAGTAAAATCACTTGAGTGTAAGGGGTAAGACTGCCCCTTACAGAGAATTTCATGCTAAAGACTGGGTTGATCAGTGCTTTAAAGTAGTGCTACATAAACTCTGTGAAATTAATTTCTCATTTTTTCATGTTGAGATCCTCATTCTGTAATGTTGATGTCACTGACACCTTAGGACACACCCTGCCCCTCCCGTGGTGTGTTGCTTTGATTAATCTGCCTCTCATAGGAATGCCCAGACCTCCACAGTCAGCCGGAGATGGCTTCACACTCCACTACACCCACTCCACCTTCCAGATGAATCTTCCTACATCACCCATTGCCTTAGCCTGGTCACCTAACGAGATCTAACTTCTAACCTTGTATTTATGACTTACTGCTCTCCCACAAACTGGGGGCAGAGTGTGCTCCTTTGGCTTCACTCCTGTTATCTTCCTCCCCTTGGGGTTCCCTTCACCCTCCTTGTTTATTCCAGCCTCAGTATGTTCCATCCCTACCTAAGTCCTCTCCCTAGAGCTCTTTCTGACCCCCAGTCCTTTCTTCTCTGAACTCCAACAATACTCCCTGTCACCACCTCTCATATTTGACACTTGGCTTATGACCGTGATTTATGTTAATTTTTGTCATCCTATCACTGCAACTAGATTAGAAACTGCTCAGTGAATAGTACTATCATACCTCGTTGTAACTCCAGTACTTAGCACAGCACTTTACACAGAAAACATTCAAAGTTCTTTTATCAAGAGAAAGATAATGCCAGGCGTATGGTAAGTTTGTACACATGGTAATCTACATGTAAGCTTATGTATAAGGCTTTATTTAAATATCTTTTACATCATTCTTTTAAGGTGGTGAAACGTTTGTTCAGAGGCATCTTATTTTGAATAAGGATGGTACTGTTATTTGCATAAATTATCTGATTTAACATTCACAACAACCTTATGAGATAGATGCTATTATTAGCCCCACTTCATAGACGAGGAAACTGAGGCTTACAGAGGTTGTTGCTCAGGTTGTCATCCCTGGCACAGAGGAGAGCCAGGATCTGAACCTCATCTGTTAAGTTCCAGTCTCACGGTCTTAACACAGCACCAGATTTTCACTCCAATCTGCCCTTCTACAAACAATAATTGTTGGTAAAGGTAATGTGATTTGTAATCATACTAAATTAACTTTATTTCATTTGGAGATCAGTATTGTGATTAAACTGCTCTAAATCCAGCTGAATGTGTATATTTTAAGAATAGCTAAAAAAAAAAACCAAAAAAACCAGCAACAACTCTTGTTTAATGACTAGTGTGCAGTATTTTACACTCTCTCTCCCCCTAGGTTTATGCTTACTCAATTGAGCTTTACATTTCAGTTGATTGCTATAGATCAGTGTTCTGCAAACTCCAGTTTGTGATTCATTAGAGGGCTGTGAAATCGATTTGTGGGTTATGTCTAGTTTCTTTAAAAATGAAATAGAATGGGGTAGATAAAAAATCAGAGTGAATCACAGATAGTAAGAATAAATATTGTTTCATGAAACTTTAATTTGTATGTTTGTGTGTGTGTGTGTGTGTGTGTGTGTGTGTGTGTGTGTGTGTAGTGTATCTGAATGTACAATATATTTCTTTGTAAGGATTGTGGTCAAAATGCTTATAAGCCACTGCCATAGATAACAGCACAAATCAATTCTCAATAACTGATTCTTATTCTATAGGTTTTTCTAAGCTACAGTTATTTTCAGATTAAAGCCCAGCTCAGTGGTTCTTAACTACACATATGCTTTGGAATAACCTGGCGGGCTTTTAAAAATGCAAATTCCTGGAAACTAGCCTCAGAAATCCTGAGTCAGTAGACGAAACCTGGGAGCCAACACTTTGAACTAGTTCCACTTGTGATACTGATATGGGTGGTTTAGGAACCACACTATAAGAAACATTGCTGGCCTGGGTAGATATTTGCTTGGAGCTATGTAATCGGAAATTCTTTTTAAAAACGTAACTGGTAGATGAATTGGCCTGAATTGACATTGACTGGATTGCATCTTTGTCCAGTCACAAAGACGCAAAGGATGACTTCAGAAGAATCACCTCTGAGATTTGTGGTACTAGAAATGAGACACTGCTCTGCCTCGAAGTGTCTGTGATGGTAAGAGAGAGCTGCTGTTGTTTTCAGGGACCTGCTTTGCCATCATGTGTATCAGCGTTTCAAGCTTTTTTGAAGTGACTTGCTTGACAAATACTGTTAGGAAGATTTTTATCAGGGCATCCTAGAAGAACATTTGGAGGGAAGGTTTTACTCCGGATTTTTTGTTTGTTTCAAGCATCATTGTTTATTTATTTATTTTTTTTCTTAAATAAGGAATTTTTAGATAAGAATCTAACTGCTAAAATAAGATAAGCTACACAATCACTTCCAAGCAGATAAGGAAGGAGTCTTGGAACCTGGGAAACAAGCAGGGGATAGCAGCTCCCAGATTAAGGCCGCATTTCAGACTTCTGACCATTTTACCTGGCATTTTCCAGAGATAGAGTTGAGCATTCTCTTTGGCTTACCAGTTCTTTATGGAGATGTGACTGCATTTTGAATTGTTTTGTGGGGAATTTGAATTTGTCATGTAGGTAATAGTATTGTGACAATGTTAAATTTACTGAGTATGGCTGCTACTTTTCTTATGTTGCAAAAGAGAGTGTCCTGGTTGTTGGGAAATACCTGTCTTCAAAGGTGAAGTCGTTATGATGTCTGCAACTAACTCTCAGATAGTTCAGAGAGAGAGAGAGAAAGCAAATATGGTAAAATACTAACACTTGATGAATCTACCTAGGGTATGTGGATATTTGTTATGCTGTTCTTACAGTTTTTTCTGCGGGTTTTGAATGTTTTC